CGCGCCCTCGCCGCGCCGGGCCAATCGCAGGTCTCCGGCCCGCAGCCAACCACGGCGCCCGGGGGCGGGGTCGCAGCTGGACGCAGCTGGGCACGGAAAGGGGGGACGAGTGTGCGCGTTCCCGCTGCGCCCCGTGGGCTCGAGTGCTGCGCCGGAGCCAGAGAGTAAGCGCCCGTGCAATGGTCCGCGACTTGACTTCTGCGCGCGCCGCGAAGCGCCTACTGTGTGCACCGCAGCCGCGGGTCGCGCATTCGCCGGGAAGCTGCTCAGCTCGGCAGCACACCCGTTGCACGCACTAGATTTCATTTCATTACCCGGGAGTAGTGAAATGGCCAGCCTGAGTTACATCGCAAGACCCAGTCACAGAGCGATACTGCCTACTGAAAAGCCCCTGTGACCGCTTGCTGGAGTGCCCCCTCCTCTGGTCACTGTGACATCACCCTCACGCTTGTCAGCGCTTGTCATGGGTTATGTCTTCCTCCCAGGAAGAGCCCGTGAGGGCTCTGCCTGGGCCAACAGCTGGCAGATATTAAAAGCTAAAACAGGGGTTGAATGAATTTGGGCTTAGCAGAATGTCCTGTCTTTAGCACATCCGCATTAAGAGAGCTGCAGGCTTATGGCTTATGTAAAAGTCTTTAGGATGATAAACAGCCTCTGCCCCGGGGGCTATGGGACTGAAGTGCCTGGGACTGGCAGAAGGCACTTGAGATCTGAAGGATCTTTCCAAGGTTCCATCTTCATTCTGAATCTTAAGCCTCCCCAGGCTATCCCCCCCCCCAAACACACACACACACACATCCGTGCTCCTTCCCTGGGTGGTCTCTGTTCACAGTCAGTTCCCAGTTTTTTCCTAGTCTTCTTCATATGCCTCCTCCCTCAAAGGAAGAGCCACTTGTGAATGTCCAGAACAGACTGCAGCCCAAGTTCCTGCCGGCTCCGATGAAGCTGGTGACCTGGCACCTTATATTAGCTGCACAATTAGATTTGGGGTGTCAGGAGTTTTTGCTGAGTTGTTTAGGTAGATGCTGGATCTCAGACCCTACAAAACTACACGGGTCTCAGTGCCTATTGGCAAGCATGCTGAGGTCTCAGATTATCGCGGATGTCAGTAGATACCTGTGGCCAGCACCTGTGTCTGATAGACGGATAAAGCCTGAACTAACTGTGCTCACCGTTCTTTCAACTCAGGAATCACCTACCTGGCCCTACACAGTCTCTGCTATTTGCTGGAAACAGCCTGACCAGGGGAAGTTCTATCCTGTAGTTTTTTGTTTGTTTTGTGTGCATGTGTGTTTGGGTGCACACATGGGAGTGTGTATATCATCATACCATGGTGCCCATGTGGAGGTCAGAGGGTGATATTTGGGAGTGGGCTTACGCCTTCAACCATATGAGTCCTGGGAACCTAACTCAGGTCCTCAGGCTTAGCAGCAGCTGTGAGAAATGGCATCCTGTAGGGTTTTGCACAGCAGAATGACAAAATCTGATTTACATTAATTGGGGGAGCACTGGTGGCAATGCACCTTTAATTCCAGCATTTGGGAGCCAGAGGCAGGTGGATCTGGACTACATAGTGAGTTCTAGGTCAATATAGCAAGCTCCTGTATCAAATGAAACAAAATAAATTATGTATTTATTTGAAAAATTACATCCCTTAATGAGCCATCTCACCTGCCCTTAATTATTTTTTTGAGACAGGATCTCACTTTGTAGCTCTGGCTGTCCTGGAAGTCACTCTGTAGACCAGACTAGCCTTGAATTTACACTCTGTAGACCAGACTAGCCTTGAATTTACAGAGATCCGTCTGCTCTAACTCCCAAGTGCTGAAATTAAAGGCCTGCACCACTACACCTGGCTTTTTATATTTCTATTTGTTTTTTGAAACAGTGTTTCTCTGTGTAGCCTTGTCTGTCCTGGAACTCATGAAGATCAGGCTGACCTTGAACTCACTGAGATCTGCCTGCCTCTGCCTCCCAAGAGCTGGGATTAAAGGTTGGCTCTGGTTTTTAATTTCTTTTATAATTTATTTTTATTTTGTGTGCATTTGTGTTCTGTCTACATATACGCCTGTGTGAGAGTATTGGATCCCCAGGAACTGGAGTTACTATTTTGAGCGGGGTACTAGGAATTGAACCTGGGTCCTCTGGAAGAACAGACAATGCTCTTAACCATTGAGTCATCTCTCTATCCTCATGGCCTTTAATTTTAAAGTAAGCCATCCACATGCTTTGAAAAATCAAAGTGGTATAACTTCTCCCTCCCAAGATATCCTATCCCCTACCCTGCCCATTCATCTTTTCTGTTTATTACAGATTTTATCTTTATCTATGTGTGTCGGTGTGTGTATATGATGTGTGTGTGTGTGTTGATGCCCTTGGAAGCCAGAAGGTCTGGGATCTCCTGGAGCTGGAGTCACAGCTGGCTGTGAGCCACTCCTGACACTGATCTGTGAACAAAAGCCACGACCTCTGTAAGAGCAGCAAATGCCCTTAAGAGCTGAGCCACCTCCCTCTCCAGCTCCACCTGTGCACACACTTCTTACCTGACTCTTCTGCATGCTTCCTTGCTTCTATGTAAATGTTGAGAGAGCACATGCTTGAATGCTGTATGTATGTGCATGTATGTTGTGTGTGTGTGTGTGTTGTGTATACATCCATGCATGTTCATATAGAGAACAGAGGAATCAATCCCCTTCCACCTTATTTCCCAGAGACAGGATTTCTCACGGAACCTGAAGCTAGCCTGACCTTCAGCAAGCCTGTGATCTCCTGCCTCCGGCTTCAATATTTCTGGGTTTACAGAGTTGTTCATGTCGCCCCCCACCCCCATCCCCAATTTTTAATTTCTATATGGGTGCTGGGATATGAATTCAAGTCCTAATACTTCTGCATCAAGTGCTCTTACCCTCTGAGCCATCTCTCCAGCCCCATGAGCACATATTCTTATTGTTCTTCCCTTTTTAACATAAAGAAATGGAATATTCTGTTCTTGAATCCTTGGTTTTAACCTGTCCTATCAGCAACAGAAGGATTCCTGACAGACAGACTGACAGACTGGTTTGCATTACAATGAATTACATACCATTTACTTATTCATTTCTCCTTCCAAACGGGGTCCATGTATCCCAGGAACCTCAAACTTGCTATTTAGCTGAAGATGATCTTGAACTTTTGACACACCTGTCTCTACATCCAAGTGTTAGGATAATAGGTATGTAGCACCCTCCCAGCCTTTTCTGTTTGTGAGACAGGCTCTCACTGTGTAGCCCGAGATTGCCTCTAACTCATGGTAATCTGCCAGTGGCCAGGTCAGAGGAACTGCCGTCAGCATTGGAGCTTATGAAATACAGCCCAGAGGATAAGAAAACTGTAGGCGCATCCTGAAGAGGCAAAGCCCCGGGAAGATTGTCTCCAGGATGCACTTTGCTTCCTCCTGCTTCCTACTGCCTTGTTCTGCTGTATTTGAAAGGTGTGATTACCCTATGAAAGGATCTCCCTGTATCTAGTATAGTGTGATTGTTTCTTGGGACAATCCCGCTCCTCTTTGGGCAATTTATTTGCAGATCATAATGAAGATGATTTTTATAAGAGCAATGATAATCAGTTAGATTTGTGATTTAACTGGACTTTCTCAGCTTAAAAGATATAGGTGGTCTTTTCGATCCGCCATCTGTGGTGGCAGCGCCACCAGGATGCAGATTTTTGTGAAGACCCTTACGGGGAAAACCATCACCCTCGAGGTTGAGCCCTCGGATACTATAGAAAATGTCAAGGCCAAGATCCAGGATAAGGAAGGAATTCCTCCTGATCAGCAGAGGCTGATCTTCGCTGGCAAGCAGCTGGAAGATGGCCGTACTTTGTCCGACTACAACATCCAAAAGGAGTCCACCCTTCATCTGGTGTTGAGACTTTGTGGTGGTGCTAAGAAAAGGAAGAAGAAGTCTTACACCACTCCCAAGAAGAACAAGCATAAGAGAAAGAAGGTGAAGTTGGCTGTACGGAAGTACTATAAGGTGGATGAAAATGGCAAAATTAGTCGTCTTCGTCGAGAGTGTCCTTCTGATGAATGTGGTGCTGGAGTTTTCATGGCTAGCCACTTTGACAGACATTACTGTGGCAAGTGCTGTCTGACTTACTGCTTCAACAAGCCAGAAGACAAGTAATTATGTATGAATAAATAAAAAGACAGGAATTGAAAAAAAAGACATAGGTGGTTAAAATAGTAAAGATGATTATGAAAATGGTTTAGGTTACTCTGCCGATTGCTCCAATAAGAGATACAAAATAGGCTAGAAGTTGCCTTCCTTTTGGTTAAATGTGAGATTTATAGAAAACAAAAAATAACATGCAAGTTTTATGCATCATCGACCCATGAATTCTGCCTGTTGAAAACAGGCAAATGAACAAAGAAAACAATTATGTCTCCACACTCAAGGTTGGGCCTGAGTTCCTCGATCATGTAGCTTACGGAATTACACTCAGGCTCCAGTGTGCACCTTGAAAAATCACAGCTGTGGAAGGAAACTAAATTGGAAGGAAACTAAATGACCCTATTGTGTGTAAAGAAAAATAAACGGTTAGCTGACCACTTTTTAAAAGTATTTTATAAAATAAAAATCTGTTACACTGTAACCAAAAACAGCTGCCTGCCAGTACAAAGGAACTGACTGAAATATACTTAGTTTGCTTAAAAGTTTGTTAGTTGATTATAAAGGAATCATTGCTTTGGGGTGAAGACGTTTTGGTGGGAAAATTAATACAAAGAAAAACATTTAGGACTGGAGAGATGGCTCAGCGGTTAAGATCATTGGCCGCTCTTCGAGAGGACTCAGGTTCAATCCCCAGCACCCACACGGCCACTCACACCTGTTTGTAACTCCAGTTCCCGTGGATCTGATTCCCTTATACATACATGCAGGCACAACACCAATGCACATAAAGTAAAATAAATAATCTTTAAAAAAAAAAAAGAAAGAAAAACATTTAACTACTTGTGGCCTTCTAAGGAAAACCTGTAACTTGTGATCATATGTGATTTCTTCTTATGTAAAGATTTCAGTTTGTTTTTGGGAAATATGTAACTTGTGGTGTGCGGTTCTCTTTTCTTGCATAGAAATCTTTGTATTAGGAGGTATAAAGGGTGTAAGAGAAAAATAAGAGAGATGGATAAGGAAAGACGAGAAGGAAAGGAGTAGAAGGGGGCATCAGGGAAGAAGGAGAGTGAGGACAGCTGGGAAGGAGGAGAAGAAAGCATCAGGGCAGCAGAACAGGACAGAAAGGAGCAGCGTGAGAGCAAGTGGCAGAGA